TTGATAAAAAAGGTAGTAGCGGAATGCTAAAATATGAGCAACTTGGGTTCCTCTTGGATATTGAAATCCTCATTGACTCGAACGAAGACACTGTAAAAAAATGCAAAGTAGTTGCTGCAGCATACGAGTGTGATTTTGATGGAAAATAACTTGGTCGCGAAATTACAAACTGCAAAATGTTAATACAAAAAAAGAAAAGACAGTGCCTTCGTTAAACCAAAAAAAAAAAAAAACATTCGAGGTTCTCAACTTCACAATATCTTACGTCGATGATGTGTTCTCTAATTTATAAATAGCATTACGCATATTGTTGGTTGTTCCTGTCTCTGTGGCGTTCGGTGAGCGCTCTTTCAGCAAAATAAAATTAATAAAAAACTATGTCCGAAGCACAATGGGTCAGGAACGCCTCAGCAATCTAGTTTTATTAAGCATCGAAAATGAATTTGGATATACAGTGATATGCAAATGTAAGTGAATACCTAATATAATATTTAAAATAATTGTCTCTTTTTTTCCAGATAATCAACAAATCTTAATTAAACTATATTTTCATTAAGAAAAACCTTTATTAAATGAATTAAAACCACTTCCAAAATTTTTTTTATCAAACTGGAATAAAAATATTAATTAAAAATTAAAAAATCAGATGTGCAAAAGTAAGTGAACCCTTACATTTACAATCTGTATTTTTGTTTTACATCGTTGCCAGCGCAAAAAAAAAATTTGTGAACATGTAAAAATCAAAATGACACGTGTTCATATGTAGATAATCTGTGATATGTATATATATATATATATATATATATATATATATTATTTATTTGAAAGTATGATTCCATCGCTACATAAGAGTTCTCATGTTTCAAAACAAGAGTCGAAAACTTCAATATAATTATTTGAATTAAATTGAATTAAAGTACCAAGCTCTGTTCCATCTTCAAGCGAAATTTTTTGGGGAATCAAAAATAATTATATTTAGACCCTACTTTTTTTTTTTTTATCGAGCACTGTTTTTTAAAAATAATAACAAAAATACGCGGTTCAAGAAGCTAGCTTGAGGAGTGTGTGGCAGATCCATCACCATTTCCGTATCTTGATGTCAATCATGATTGGGGCTTGTCTGGTCCTGTCCTGTTGGAGTCGACTTCTGGCCACCTGAGACATCGGTTGGTAAGACCAACACCCGCAAAGCTGTGTATACTTCAGTCAAACAATATAACCCACTGTGTATGCAAAAGTGTGCTGTTAGAGAAATTTTAATATATATATATATATATATATATATATATATATATATATATATATATATATATATATATAAAGTGAACATTGAAGTCAACACTCAGAGGCTACAGGCTGTTTCATGCTAGGCGCAATCGTCGGCCTTCAATGTTCACTTTTATATTTATATTTACATACGCTCTATCTCTGATACTGAGCACTTTATCCCATAAATACACCACACCTTAAAACTATATTTCTTCATATATATATATATATATATATGAAGAAAAATATACTGAAAAAACAAACAAAAATCCTAATATGCGATTATGTTGTTTTAATGTTTAATATCAACGTCGGACGTTTCGGTCTAATAGACCATCTTCAGGAAATATTCATAAAACATAATTAACATAGACCATATACAATTCAACATGAAAAAGACGATGGACATAAAAGCAATACCAATCTGTCTGGATTAGGATTTTTTTTTCAGCATATTTTTCTTCATACTGTCGGATCTATATCCATATATTTGCTTACACACACACACACACACACACACACACACACACACACACACATATATATATATATATATATATATATAGATAGATAGATAGATAGATAGATAGATAGATAGATAGATATGTGTGTGTGTGTCTGTTGTGTGTATGTGTATATTTAGGAAGCAATTTCTCATTGATGCATGTTTCATTAAATTATATAGACAAGTTTTGTCTATTTATTTTAAGTAAGTTCATTTCATATTATCTGATAAGCTTAATAACATTATCATTGAAAGATGAAAGGAAATCACCATATTGATCTTGATATATATACATAAAACAAAATAAACTACGAAATCTCCACAAATATTCTTAAATGCCTATAATTGATAACTGAAGCCATTGGTTTATACCAACAGCTTTCCATACTTAATACTTCTCGTTTTCACTCTTGCGTGGTCATGTGTGACGTCACCAGCTGCGATGCGATTTTCCGCGTCTCGTATACACGAGTTTGTCGTTGCTTTGAAATTTTTCATGCAACAAAAACAAACTATCATTATTGTTTCGTCCGTGTATTGTTTGATATATTGAAATGTAATTGTTATCTTTGATAATGGCTTATGTAAGCCGAAAGCTTAGATCCGATTTAAACACTTCTCAATATGATGATTTCCTTTCGTCTTTCAATGATAATGTTATTAAGCTTATCAGACAATATGAAAGGAAATAGATAAAATAGACACAACTTGTCTATATTACAGTGTAACCCGGATATAAGAGAGTTGTCGGGGCCGGAGAAGAAGTCTCTTATATCCGGGTTTCTCTTATATCCGGGTTTCTCTTATATCCGGGTTTGGTCTATTTTATACGCATTAACACAGGCTCTAATTTGGGACCGGAGAAAATCTCTCTTATATCCGGGTTTTTCTTATATCCGGGTCTCTTATATCCGGGTTACACTATATTTAATGAAACATGCATCAATATATATATATATATATATATATATATATATATAAAGATCAAAAGAAATTCCTGAAGCTTTAAAAAAATCGCATAGTTGAAACCTATAGTGATGGAGAAGGCGAAAAAAGTCTATCAAAACGATTTGGAATGCACTTCCCCACCGTACAACAAATTGTTTATAAATGGAAAGCATTTGGTATGATAGCATCACAATCTAGAAGTGGCCGTCCAATGAAAAATAACAGCAAAGAGCAAATAGACATCAAATTCAGCAAGCCGTGATCTTTGAGGTTCTCCAACGCTCACTGGCCAATGTCGGAATCAATGTTCATACATCTACAGTGTGAGGAACTTTGAACAATGTCGATCTTCATGGCAGAATAGCTAGAAAAAGCTACTGATTACAAAATAGCAGAAGCATACTCGCCTCAACTATGCCAAAGCTCATATTAATAAGCTAGAAACATTCTGGCAAAAGGTGTTATAGTCGGATGAGACTAAACTAGAACTTTTGGGGAGGAACAATAGGTAGTATATCTGGCAAGCTCCTAATACGGCTTTTGTAGAGAAGAATTTGATACCAACCATTAAACATGGCGGTGACACCAATATGATTTGGGGATCCTTTGCTGCAACAGGCAAAATAGAATGAAAATGTCTTCTCTTCATTTCAAAAGTTGGGTTTAGGTCAGGGCTGGGACTTCCAAGACAATGATCTGAAGCATCAAAGCAAATCTACAAAGGAATGGGTCCGTAAAAAGAAATTTCAAGTCTTGAAACGGCCTAGTCAAAGTCCTGATCTAAACCCAACTGAAAATCAGTGATTCAAGTGAAAGAAGGCAGTGTATGGAAGAAACCTACGTAAAATCGAGCAATTGTGGGAGTTTTGCCAAGAAGAATGGTAACAAATCGGCACTCACTACTATCGTAGCCCCTCCCTTACACCGTTCACCTTGTGTTTACGTCAGGGCTGGAAGGCAGAGGTTTATATATCTACATGGCCTTGATCTTTTCTTCATTGCGTTCCCCCAATGCTTTCAATTTAATATAGCAAGTTCATTTAGATTTATAATAAACCTAATATCTTTTTAGTCGTTTCAGTATTACGAACTTAGTCTGAATATTCTTTGTGAACATTTTTATACTTGATAGTGTTATAAAATAAAATGACATATCTCGTCTGATTTACAGGCAAATACTCAAGAGCGAGAACCGGATGTGAACGGGACAAAGCCCTGTCACAAAATGTCCATTATCTTTCTTCACAAAGGTTTCCGACACACGTGTTCCGGTCAAAAAATAAAATAATATTTAAAGTGCTCTATTTTTCGTCCAATAAAAATGCTTCCCTCCTAATTATACTCGCTTCGTTTCTCGAGCCTGTTAAGCCATAAAAAAAGCTATAAAAGGGGTCACAGGGAAGTTCAGCAGCAGTCAACAGGGGAGGTAAAACCGGCCCAGAACCCGTTCATACGGGTTCAAATGAGCTATTTTTTGGCCGAGCCTAATGGCTCGGGAATGCCCACGTTAAAAAGGCCTTGTGCCACATGACACCCTCGTGGGGGGGTGACTGAATATTGTCAACAGGTGGCCACAAAGGAGACCGGTCACGTTCAGCAGCTGTCAACAGGAGAGCGTTAACCACCGTCAACATGTGTGAACTACTATGAGAGATCGACCTAGATCCGAAAGCCGGCTTATGAACTTTACCACACCAAGGTAGCTGTCCTAAACCCTTACGTTACTGTTGAAATAAACCACGTAAATCTATTTCTACTGTTGTCGTATTTCTTTCTTGCAACCATACGCTTGTCTATAACAATAGTAACTCTGAATTTATTTTCTCGAGATTTTAGGTACTTTGCAGGCCCAGTTAATGTTATTGCACTCATTCATCATATAACCCGGCGACTTTTCGCCAAAGAAGGGAGGACGCTTTCTCCTCCCGTTCCTCTCTTGTCAAACTCTCTGCTTCCTGGCGGAGAGGAACATGCCGAAGAGCAGAGTCTCGTTTCGGGAGGTAGACAAATCCGATGCCGTGAATACGTGGAATTTTTGCCCAAGCCTACGGGCTCGGAACGCCCTACGTTAAAAAATGGCCTTGTGCCACATCTTGTGGAGAGGTTGGTAAATAGGAAGGACGAGGAGGAGGCGGAATGCAGGCACCCTGATCTTTGTGAACAAAAGTTGGCAGAACAAAAATAAAAAAGTTGGGCTTTCCTATCCATTCTTACTCCCGTCATTCATAGCCTTTATTATTTCCGGAATTCTAGGCCTTACTACTTCCGGCTATCTCGTATGCTTTCTTCCGGCTACTACAGAACCTTACTTCCGGCTAACATGGACCTTTATATTCCGGTACTTGGCCTTCATTACTTACACCCCTTAGTGACTTCATCCCTACTCATGTGGTTGATCCGCGTTGATGGACCTGCTTACAACAGCTCTGAACTTTCGGCTACTCACTGGCCCCTACTTCCGGTAACTCTGTCTCAATCTAACTCACCTGATTGATTGGCGTTAATGGACCTGCTTACAACAGCCCTGGACTTCCGGCTACATTAGGTCCCTACTTTTGGCTTTCCTGTCAACCTAACTCAGCTGGTTTCGGAAATTTATGCATGCTTATCGTTCAGACTCAAACAATCTTCTCCGTACAGTTCGGTTAAAATACTACGGAAGGTTTACCATTGGACATAACCAGCAACTAATCAACGCCAGCACCTAATATTTAAAGAGAACTTTCTTCTCTTTAGCTATATCGTCCAGACTTCAAATAACCTATTCAGTATACTTCGGTTAAAATACTACGGAAAGTTCATCATTAGATTTAACCAGCAACTTTTCAACACTTTCGCCGGATATGTACACTGAACTTTGGAACTGTGCACTTACATACCAACTTATATGGACTCTACTTTTAACATTTAGTCACAGTCATATTATCTAGATCTTCTAGCCTTTCATTTACTTACTTCTGTCTCCATTACTTGACCCATTGTTTGTGTAGCATCCCGCTACCACTTTCTTACCAGTGTTGAATTTTGTACATTTTTGTGCAAAAAAGTGGATCAGAGATCCTATTCAGTAATTTTTTTCAAGAAATATTAGCTTCTAATTAGTCAATAAACACACAAGTGCGCGTTGCAATCTACCCACGTACAAATATTTCTTCCAGTGCTAACCAAGTCAAGTTTCCCGCCAATTTGCTGTGATCCTGTCACGTGATTACATTATCTATAAATAGCAGACACAAGCTTGCTGCTTTCTTTTTTCTCTCTTCTTGATGCAAGATGTAGTCTTAAAAGGATTCTCGTTTCGACCATGGACGGTCAGACGTTAAAAGCATATTCACGCATGTACGTACGTACGTACGAACTTTTCCAAACTACATTACAAACATACAGAACATTTCCAAACAAGCAACAAGAACTTTTCTCTTTGAAACATTCTTTTAAAGCTACAGTTTATTCAGCATTTCTCAGCTTTGTAATTAATTCAACTTTTGTGAGTTCAGATAAAAATATTCAGTCTAAGGGACATAACTCCAACAGATCTTTAACTTCTACGCATGTTCATCAACACACAAATAAATACAAATGTTATGTTTTAAAACCATTTTGTTCCGTCTTGTATTTCATGTTTTGTGGTAATTTTACGTCAAATATAAATTGTGTGGTCATGTTATTCACGCAGCCGTAAACAGACATCTACAATTGTCTATTCTTATTACCACTACATATGGCATTGGTAACCCCGATGGGGCGAGAAAAACAAATAGACCACTACATTTTTGTTCATGTTCCTTTTAAATCCAAACACATACTTCCGTATATGATGTGAATAAATTTTGTATTAAATTTAAGTTTGTCGTCCTCTTGTTGACCTGTCAGATTTCACGTCTCTTATTTTTAAAATGTTAGTGGGCTTCTTGTGAGTCATACTTATTTGGGGCGCACAGGCCATATGGCGCTCCATCCTACACTACGACCGAAACTTATCTAAAGAATTATAGAAAAAAGATTGGTTGACATTTTAACCTCAAAAGAAGGAGTCAACAAATATTAAATGATAAATGTAAAGCGTTCACTTACATTTGCACAACTTAATTTTTAATTAATATTTTTATTCCAGTTTGATTAAAAAATAAAGTTGAAAGTGGTTGTAGTTCATTTAATAACGGTTTTTACTTTTTCTTTAGGAAGATTTAGTTTAACTAAGACTTATTTATCTTCTGGAAAAAAAGACAATTTTTTAAAAAATATTATCTCAGATTCACTTTTTTTTGCATAGCACTGTATAACTGAATGGTGTTACTGTTAGTTATTGACAAAGTTTTGATTTACCAAGCTTGTCGGTATGTCGCGGTTTAATGAATTCAATTCAAATAGATAATGAATTGTTCTTTTAGTCTTACTCTTCTTAACATATTTCAGTTCAAGGTTTTCGTTTTCTCAATGCATAGTTCTTGTTGGTCGTGGCGGATTTAAATACCTTTTCACAGTACTTTTATTTGTACCTGTCCTAAAATAATAAAAAGTTATTTTAATTCTGTTTTAAGTTAAAAAAAAAAAAAAAGAAAGAAAGAAAAAAAGTAAGCATTACTTAAAAAAAAAAACCCCAAAAAAACGTTATATCTTAAAAATATACTGACAGATTTCGAAACACATCTCTTGGATAAATATTGGATTTTAAAGAGAATTTCAATTATATTTGTTTTCTTGTTTAGTCTTCGTATTCATATGACGGAAACATGCCAATCAAAAATGCCTTAAAAATTTATTTATACGAAAGTTAATTTAATTTTTCTTTTAATTCGGGTTGACTTTTTTTTTCAAATAGAACCGAAATTTAAGTTCAAAGAAGGCTTAATCATTTAAATATTATTTTAAAAGCGTTTTTCCGAAAAAAAAAAATGAACTTTTTTTAGAAAGTCCGTTAGACGTATCTCTTCTGTAAATAGAAATCTCAGGTACTTCATAACATTTTAAATAAAAAGCAACATTAAGACGAAGAAAAGACGCGACAAAAAAATGTAAACAATAGAAAATACTTTCTCTGTGTTCAAAGAATTAAAAAAATGTATGAAAGACTGAAAAGAAAAGCACCCACCAAAGATCGAACATGCTTATAAAAATTGTAGTTTGGTGGTGGGGAAACGCGCTTTTGTTTCATCGGTCCTCTACGGTAAGCGCCCCAATATTTTATCTTCTTGCAGACAGTGACAGTGAGATGTCACCCATCGATTTATTGGTGGTGTGTGTTCGAAGTCTAACAGTTACAGTAGCATATCACTGAATAATTTTTCATTAAAAAAAAAAAAAAAATCACGCTGCACCTGTTGGTTTAGTTAGACTCAAGTTGGTAATTAATTATTGTGGTCACTGGCTTCGCTTAATTGAATATAGCTAGCAACCGCACTGACTTAATGATGAAAAAAAAAAACAAATTAAAACGAGACTTCGTTAATTCTCTTACTCGATTTCCCCTATCCCGGTACGATAGATTCTGCGTGAAATGTTTTTAGACATTTACTTAACGAACCCTTCTGACGGAACTTAGCTGAATAGTTATACTTATTGACATCCGTAGAATTGAGAGGTTGATCGTTTTTATTATGTAATTGTTCACTACTCGGAGATGGCGCTTTAAAGGAAGGAATCTTTTACCTTTTTTCGCTTTTAGTTTGCTCTTTCAGTCGTTTTCATGGCTTTTCTCTACTTACCATTCCGTTATGCCTGGAAGGTAAGTTGAATTTGAATATCTCAAAGATAAGTGTTTCCACTTTCCACCCTTCTTCTCCCAGACATGTCAAATCTACTTCTTGTTTGTTTACTTTAAAACGAACATGCAACCGATGATTTTTTGATGTTCTTTTAAAAATACATTATTATTCTTTATCAGGATTTCTCGAATACGCAGGCTGATAGACGTAAAAATACATATTGTTTAAAATAAAATTAAAAAAAAATAAACCGTTTAAGACTAAGAGTATCCACTAACCTTTCAAATAATAATAAAAAAAAAAGCTGTCAGAGTGGAAAAGGTTTTTTCCCCCAAAAAGAAATTGTTCTTGATAAAAAATTTATAAATTGTTTTCCCATTACTTCAAATATTTTTTTTACTGAATACTCGTATTAGAAATAGACTTCCTGTAGTTTGGTGGGGGCTGTTAATATTGTATTAATATCGGCCTGTGTACTACACGCTGTTTTAAAAATGAAAACGGGGAATCCATTTCATTTTTTAGTTTCACATACAACAGGCTACAGGGTACCATTAACTTAAAAAATATGATTTGAGCTGAAGTAAATGTCGGATAAAACAAATTCATTCATTCTTTTAGAAATATAATTTAATCTCTATCTCAAAGAAAAAAATTGTAAAATGTGCACTCTACTTTTAACGACGAAAGAAAAAAATAAATGAATAAAAAAAACAATAAAAAAATAAAATAAAAACAGTCGTTGCAACTTCTGTAGTTAGTTTCATTTTTAAAGAGTAAAATAAGTAAAACGGATCTATTTCATTTTAGCTTTCAGTGTGGAATACCGAAATATTATTTCTTTCTTTGTTGGCAAAGGTATTTAAATTTAATTTATTTCACTTCATTTTCTGTCTTTTTTTTCTTACCGTTTTCTTTTTATAAGCAAAAAATATATATTTCGCACGTAACAAGTACTTGTTTTCAAAGGCGTGCAAGTCTCGTTGAACATTTTTAACAAATATAGCACAAAAACAAAATTATAACACGTACAAAAACACAAAACTAAAAAGTGTTACTGTTAAATTACTTTAAAAAAAAAAAAGAAAATAATGAATACTTTTTTAAGTTTGTGATTTAGCGCGATGTAAAGTCCCATCGATGTCGACAAACTTTATCATCAAAGAAAATGAAGTGGCCGAAATTTAAAAGCACTATGTATTTTTCAACTCGATTGTAATTCATTTACTCCGGTAAATTGTGAGTAATGACATTTAAATAAAATGTATTAACTTATTTTGTCAGGTTCATATCCATCTATGAACTTTTCAAATAAGACTTTATTAATTTAATTATTAATAAGAGCTACCCATCATCCAAAATTCGGTTTCGTTTACACAATTGAAAACAAAATGTAAATAAAATAAGTTTTTAAATTTTACTATAGTATAATTATTGAATGTTTAGTTTGTCACTAAACTTTAGTAACGATCTAAGTTTTTAAATTTTACCATAAATTATTGAATGTTTAATATTGATTGTTAAAACTTTCATACCGCTCGGCTAAGTCGCAACTTAAAAAAAATACCGGACGTAAAAAAATATGACTACACTGAGGTACCTATTGTGTTTTTTCCCCCCCATAACTTACAAATTTTAAAATATCTTTAAAACAAACGTTTTGTTTTAAAAAGACATTTTCTATTATTTTGCAAGTTACTTGCACAAATAATAGAATGGACGTTTGAGAACTTTCTTAGCTCGGCTTAACAATAAAATGATAAAGAAGAGAATTTCAACGTGGTGGTTAAGCAAGATACTACTGAAAAATGAATTCAATCCTCACTGGGTGCACCAACCAAAACTTTCGGCCTTGTGCCACATCTGAGCTAAGCTTTAATCACCATGGCATAAATGAAAGTATCACTCTTTTTGGTGTTTCTTTTCTCATCCAAATAATTTACAAATTAAGCTACTTAATGAAGAAACTGTATGAATTGAACGCTGCAACACACGGAATCGTTCAATTTTTTTGGGGGGAGGGCGAATTTTAATGAGCTTTTCCATTTATGATCAGTACAGTTTTTATTTAATAACAATATCATTTGACGCCTACAAATTAATTCAAGATTTAAAAAAATGTAAACTATTCTCTTGTAAAAAAAAAAATTCAATATTCATCGAAAAAATGTTTTTCTTAAGGAAGCCAATAATATGAAATATTAAAAGCTTTTCTCATTAAAAATGATATCTTAGTTTTTTTTATCGTGATATCGTTTACCCACCCCCTTTTAAATTTTAATTATTTTATAATAAAACGTAACGTGCTCGTCTGAATGAAAGTATGGTGAACAACTTCTTTTCTGGTATTGGTGATATATATGCCACGAATCAGAAAGAAAGGGTTATTCCTACTCAACTCATGGCATTACTACTCATAAAGAAACTATTCATTAAGACATCTACAATCAGAATATTGAAAACTTGTAGACGTGTGTAAATTGCAAAATTCGTAAACAATGGAAATTCAAGAGCCGTGTTTGAAACTTACCGCTTCCAGGAGGAGGTACTTCCACTCAGTTTCGGTACCTAAAGGTTTTTAAATTTTTTTTTTTAATGAAAAAGCATTCTTGAAGCTTTCATTTCAGCTTTAATGAAAGCTAAATCATTAAATTTTTTTTATTTCCAGTAAAGCAAAATACTCTGGTGACGTATTTCAAATAGAAATTATCGACTGAAATCTCAACTTTTTGGTTGCTTTCACAAAATCGGCCATTTTAAACACATTTTGACGCATTTGTTTTGTAAACAAAAGTTAATCCTTCGTTATAAAAATATTCCAAAAATAAAATATACTTTTCTGAAACTTTACTTGAGGAATATTAGTTGATTTAAAGTATAATTAATCTGATTTGAAAAAAAGTATTATTTACTTTAAGTTTAAAATAATAGAGATGGATTTTTAAAACCAACAATAGCGATGATTACACGTTTATCACCGTTGCTTGTCACATGTAGATCACTTAACGAGTGATGATATAATCTGTCAACCACCTATTATTGATCTATGGAAACTTACCCGTTAAAACATAATTTAAGAAAATGACCGGTGAGTGCCTTTTTTATATAATTTTAAATTACTCAATAATCTTAAAAATGTTGGAAAATATTATTCTCTAATCTAATTTTAGGAATGTTGAATTTAAATTTAGTTTAGTCATCGCTCTTGTTTTCTGATTATGCCGTGTATGATTGACCATACTTTCAAACAGGGACACGTTGTTACGTAAAAAAAAATAATTTTTATTTTTAAATATTGTGTGTAAACAACTTTTATTGAGCTTTACAATTTTGATTCGTAAATATAGTTTTCACTTACCAATATCACCTGTCCTACATAAAGTAATAATGCAGAATTTTAAACGATTTAAAAAAATGAAAACAATTCTTGTAAAAAAAAAAAAAAAAAATATTCTTCGAAATTTTTTTTTCTTAGGACAATAGTGTCCTTTATAAGTTTTGTTTATAAAAGCAATTAAAAGCTCTTCTAAATGATGTCATAGTTTTTTTTATCGCATTTCTTATTTTACGATTCATAACAAATAACTGAGTGACCTCAAAAACTGATTTCAATTCTGAAATGATTCCTGCTTTTAAAACAAATTTTGAGATTGAAATTTAATTTGTCGAAATTTAATGAAATTCTTTTCTAAAAAAAAATCTAAATAATTTCATTCATTTGTGAAAAAGTTCAGAAAGTTTCAGTAAAATCCGACAATTATTTGATTTTTGCAAGAATTTCCAAATCAATGTGCTAAAAAGTAGCAGTTTAGTAGGCCACTGATATATAATAATAAAAAAAAAATAAATGAACCAAAATTTTGAACGTGCTAGAAAGGATTAAAAAAATTGATAAAATAATAAGAAAATACTTTGGTCTTTCGTCTTAATGATCAGATATAACATAAACATTTTGGCGATAACACTTTGTTTTAAGTTTGGGGCCTTTTTTCATCATGCTATGCAGTTTTTTTGTTTGTTTTTTAGCGAAACCATGACAAAACGTTTTTTTTACTCCATTTATTGCCTATGTCAATTCCATACCCTTTTGAAGTGTGAATAACTTTTTTTCATTAAATTTCAACTTAGGCCGCTAAAATGTAAAATTCTTACTGCATAGATTTTTTTTATTATTTAAAAAAACCGAAACACACTTGAGCATAGTCTAACACCGGACATTATTTATCGCGGGACTTTCTATATCTTTTCACCTTTTATTAGATTTAATTTTTAAAATCTGTTAAGTTTTTTTTTCTTCTATTTTCAAAGACTTTCTCTTAAATATTGCAAAAACATCAGTTTGGCTACTGTTTCTTGGACTCTGGTTTCAGGAGGAGGTAGACAAGTTGAATAAAAGTAAAACAGAGTCTGTCTATATTTCTGAGATGAGGTATTTATGTACAGTATTTACATTATTAGTCGGACTATTGTCCTCATCTTTGTCGCCATATTTGTCACAACGTTTCGGCCGTTGTACGCTCCGGCCTTCTTCAGGTGGTTGGAATTTCGAACTGAACCCTTTATTTCGATCACTGGGGTAGACTGTTCTAGTTCCACGTGCCATGTTTGATGGATGTCAGTTATCAGTTATCTCCTGCTAATTTTCCCTCTGAAAGTTCTCCACTGCCTTAACCGGGTATTGAACTCACACTCTTTGGGTCTGTCACAGGATCTAACCAACGCCTTTATCCACTGTGCCATGTGTCCTTGAAATTCCAACCACCTGAAGAAGGCCGGAGCGTACAACGGCCGAAACGTAACAAATATGGCGACAAAGATGAGGACAGTAGTCCGACTAATGTAAATACTGTACAAAAAGTAAAACAGTTGACTAAAAATGAAATTAACTAAAAAAATGTGATGCAATTTATAATTTATTTAATTACGATCATTAAAATGATCACATCACCATAATTGAACTATCGTTACTACTTTATCTACTGTCAATTGTAATTGAATATAATCATTGCATAATAATAGG